AAATAGAGGGCGCCACACCAGTCACGTTACCTCGATGACGTAACAGGACCTTAGCATAACTTGCTGAAGATGTGAAAGACTTGCTCATTTATCTTATTGAGATGCTCCACATGAAATGATGGTTTCGTTGCCATGTGACCAATTTATCGATTCCTTAAGATGGGGATATGTAGAATAGATTAAAGCAAAGTAAGTGTACATATTTACGAAAATTTGGCCATTTGGCAATGGAACTAGAATCAGTTAATGTTACGGATAGATAACTAAAGGCACCATCCAGGAATTATGGGATTTTCAGATAGAATAATGTGGAAACATTAACTCTCGCTGATGGTTCTCCCCAGTGGCACAGCGGTATGTCTGTAGATTTACAACGCTAGAATCCAGGTTTTGATACTCGTGGTGGACAAAGCAAAATAGCCCCTTGTGTAGCTTTGTGCTTAACTTCAAAGAAACAAAAGAAAAATCACTGATGGAAGTTAAAGATGGTCCAAAGGATTAATTAGAGAACTGTTTACTCAGATTAGAAGAAATAAACTACAGGGCAGAAGTTGTTTCAATTGCAACATTAAAGGGTATTCTGACAGGAAATGCAGACAAAAGTTTTTTAGGAAATAACAATTGCCTCAAGGGATGATAGAAAACAGAAACTGCTATAAATGTGGTAAACATGGGTGTTATCTATGAATCTGTGGTGAAAAAACATCGATAATAAATCAAGGAGATGATATCTTCAAGCAGAGAATATTCCATGTGCTTCAGTTCAGATAAGAAGTACACTATTTAAAGAAATCAGACCATAAGTTAACAGATTCATTAATGGGAAGTTTTGTTAATTGGCACTGGTTCTATGGTTACTATTATTCCAACAATTCTGGTAATGGAAGATTGGAAATTGTTCCCAAATATGAAGGAAGAAGATTTAATAGGTCTTAAAGTTCCAACAAGAAGAAAGTTAGGAAATGTCCTTATTGTATTGAGAATACATGTGAGATTAGACTTGCTTCAAATATGTTCACAGTCTATATGACAAAGAAATCCCTATATATGCATTACATGACGATTACTAAACGAGAAGATGAACTTAAAGTGACAACAAGAGGACCAATCATTGTTCCACTATGAAGTGAAATACTTATAGTATACATAAAGACATCTTACCACCTCACTACAAGAGCTGTTGTGATCTTGTTGTTAAGTAATGCCACAGATTACATGAGATGCTCACGGAATATCAAGATTTCTTCAATGGACCTCTTTACTTAAGTTGAACAAATATAACACCCCATAAGATTGATATTGGAGATACAGCCACAATAAATTTGTTAGCCAGATGACTCCTACTTGCGAAAGAGTTTAATATTTTTAAAGAAATAGAAGCCATGAATGAACAAGGAATGATAGAGCCAAGTGCTAGTTCTTGGGCATCACCAATCATACTTGTGGATTTACACGGTTCTGTATGGATACCGGAAGGTGAATGAAGCAGTTAAGAAGGATACCTACCCACTACCAAGGATTGACTCTACTGTGAATGCTCCATGTGAATCAAAATGGAAATCATAATTGAATTTTAAAATTGAATATCGGTAAGTGAAAGTTGACAAAGCAAGTTGGGAGAAAACAGCCCTTACTGCGAGAAATGGATTATGGCAATTTGTTGTGTTACTATTTATGTTACATAATGTACCTACTACATTTCAATGAGTGTGCTCTCTCTGAAACATTCTGGAACATTGTACACATCCACATGGATGACATAATTGCACATGGGAAGACCTTTACTAATGTTTGTAATGGGCTAAGGAAAGTTCTACATTGGTTTAAGGACGATAACCTTAGGTTGAATCCCAAGAAGTGTGAATTATCTACCAACAAGTTATAGTTTCCTGGAACATGTTATTAGCAGAAAGGCAGTGTCTACAGACCTATCGAAAATTGATTGTATCCAGAATAGGCCAACACCAACTGTGTGAGGTAAAGGGATATCTTGGACTGTGTTTGTACTATCGCCCTTTTGTAGAATTATTTTCTGACCTAGTTTGTTCACTAAACAGGTTACTTGAAAACCAATTAAGTTTTGTTGGACTGCTTATTGTGAATAATCTGTTAACAAGCTGAAGAAATAATTGACAATTACTCCTGTATTAGCATACACAACTCTTGAAGATCTACTGATTTTAGACATAGATGCTAGTGACATTGTAGTAAGAGAAGTACAACAGAGAAAATAACACGTGATTACCTACTATAGTAAGGAAATGCATGCTGAAGAAATGAGACATTGTACAATTAAAAAGAACTACTAAATGTGGTTCAAGCCCTAAGTCATTTCTATCGCTACATATATGGGCAAAAGATTGCACTCCAAACAGATCATGCAGCATTGAAGTGGCTGCTGAATTTGTGCAATCTAGTAGACCAAATGTTAATATGGCTCCAAAAACTCTAGTAGTACAACTTTAACATCGTACATCATCCTGAACTGAACTAGGGAAGTACTGGTGTGTTATCCCGAAGATCGTGTATCAATGAAGAATGTAGACACTCTGAAAAGAGGGAAGATCGAGATAGTAAAGACGAATAACCTAAAGTACAATAGAGTTTAATCCAAGATGTGACATCCACAAGCGGTGATGAAGAACTAATGTGGCCTAACACTCAAATGAAAGATGATTAGACAAAAGACACGAGTTCGAAACCAATTATTCAGTGAATCGAGACTAGTGCAGAAAAACCTTTATGGCAAACAGTTGCTCCATTACAACAAAGATGTAATGGACACATTATGCTTTCAAAAGGGCTTGTTATGTTGTAACGTAGTAACTATAGTACTTATGTAATATTACTAACAGTAGATGGTGAGTAAATACACTACTACTAGTACTATTAACTTATTAATGGTATTATATTATTATTATTGTTTATTTGTTTTTGGTGGCACTGCGATCTACACAGATAGGTTAGTTGAGATCGGTGAGAAGATTTTTGTGGTTGTAAAGATTTTTTTGCTTAAATTAATGTGTATAAACAACTTTAGTTAAGGAAGCCATTTAAACGTTACAGATAATATTGTATGTTATAAGCTATACAGAGCCTGAATAACCAAACTTTAGAGTTAAGGATAAGTAAATATTACAACTATTAGTCAATTCACTGTCACGCTAATACTGACTGCAGTAGTCGGTGATTTTACTTTAGTAGGGTTACTGTTATGACAACGTTATCATTAGCCCAAAACATAGTGCAAGTTGAAACTTAGGAATTTGGTTTAATGATTTGTATGGTGAATAATTTTTTAACGATTTATTTTTTATCAAAGGTTTATTTGTTTTATTACACATTAGTCTCACGTACTTCTCTCTTTCTTTTTATTGCATATCAAAGAAAGGTTTTAACTTTAAGTTAAATTTTAAGGAAAATAATTGAACAATTAATTCTTAACAACTAATGAAGTATTGAAGCCGAATTAACAAGTGAACATTACCATTTCAGCTGAAAGAATAAAGTCATAATGAGACGAAGAGTTGGAGGAGTTGGTGCCATTCAGAAGCAGCAGCTAGCTCAAGCCAGATTTCGAAATAAAGGAAGCGAAATAGCTGAAGATCAGCTTCAGCAGATGACAAAACAAATGGAAGTGTTTCGCACAAAACTTCAGGAGTTTGCTTCTAATCATAAAAATGAAATACGGAAAGACCCATACTTTCGTTGTCAGTTTCAAGAAATGTGTGCCACTGTTGGAGTTGACCCTTTAGCATCAAGTAAAGGCTTTTGGGCCAAAATGTTAGGAGTTGGAGATTTCTATTATGAATTGGGTGTTCAAATTATTGAAGTGTGTATTGCTACTAGTCATCAAAATGGAGGAATAATTGGATTGGATGAGTTGAGAGAAAAAGTTATGAAGTCTCGTGGAAGTAAGAAACGACAAGAAGATATAACACAAGATGATTTATTGAGAGCTATTGACAAGTTGTCAGTTTTGGGAAAGGGATTTCGTCTAATCCCTGCTGGGAATCATTATCTTGTTCAGTCAGTTCCAGCAGAGTTAAATATGGATCATACAACCATACTTCAGCAAGCTGAAGGAACAGGATTTATTTCATTAATGGCTTTGAGAAGAACTCAGAAATGGGGAGAAGAGCGAGCCCAGAATGCCTTAGAAGATTTAGTAAAAGAAGGAATGGCTTGGGTGGATGACCAGGCCAAAGATGAGGGTGAAAGGTTGTATTGGTTTCCAGGTCTTTTACAAGATAAACTTGTGTCATGGTAGTAAGTAGGTATAATATGTTGACTGCAGACAGTTATTTTGTTATGATGTAACATGTTATAATTTCACTTAAAAGCCAAAAGGAATCCAGTGATAGTTTCAAACTGTTATGAAAGTGACCGTATTCTGAGAATTTGGAACATGCCCTTAAAATTTGAATCTTCATTAATTAATATTTTACCAATTAGTAACAAAATTGTGCCTTACAAATGCTGCACAGACTTTTGATTGAGAAAGATAAGTTTATTGAATGCAGTTACTGCACTACTAAAAACTCAAATTAAAGGAAAATGAAAAGTTACTTGTGTGTTCATGTAAATAAAATGGCTTTAAGAGTTATTCCTGCATGAAGGTATAAAAATCATTTGCTATAGTTCATTAATTTCTGAGAAAAAGCAGTTCAAAGTTTTTAGGTTACAGGGAAAAGTATTTAATGTTTAAGATTCATGAATCAAAACATAAAGTGTATATTTATACTGGTACAAAATTCAAAGTAGTAGCTCCAAAATTGTAGGCATGTTTCAACAATTTGGGATTTTGTTTGTAATTACACTCTAGAAATATATGTTAAACATAGGAAACATTACAATTTTTAGTTACATTTTTAGAAAATAATTCGTAAATGGAAGTCAAGATTGGTCCACTCATGTAACATTATTAATTTCAAAAGCTTACTGACTTGTGTTATTTTAATAATAGAGATGACAATTTTTTTTTTGCCAAGAAAATTAACCATATGTTTTGTACTGTTTGCAAGCTTGGGTGTTCACATGTATTATTTGCATATATTTCTAGTAGAAATCTAAGAGTTGGTGGTTGATTTTTGTACCATATGTGTTGTAAATAATAAATGGAAAATATTAATTATGCATATAAAGGAGACAGATTGTTTAACTAGCTTTCCTGGATGCAGTTTGGTAATTTCCCTAGACTTGAGGAGCTGAGCCTTTTGTATTGTTGAAATGGATTTTTTTTGCCTGTATTGTTTATAATTGCATGAGCAATGAAACATTTGTGCGTAATAATGCTCTTAAGTATACTATCAGTTGTACTTTTGTTTCTAAACTAGTCTTAAATGTAATTATTGTATTTTGGCACTTGTGTTTAAAGTTAAAATCATAAATAATATTCAACGTTAAAACTAGTACACAATTAAAAATATTTTATTTAGGCCTACAAAAAAGTTGACGATTCTACATGTTTCGACTTTGCAATGTCATCCTCAGGAGTTGCAACGTCGAAACATGTAGAATTGTCAACTTTTTGTAGGCCATAGATAGGCCTAAATAAAATGTTTTTAATTGTGTTCCAGTTTTAACGTTGAATATTGTTTATGATTTTAGTCTTAAATGTGTAAAAAAACTGTTGTATTACATTTGCTAATGTAAAACTGTTATGGATAATGTTCATGTAAAAAAAAGCATATTGTATATATGCATTTGAGCAAAAGTTTAATAATCAGTAATATCTTTGTCTCTAATATACATTTTCCTTTTCTACTGAACTGTTCTGGAATATGTAAAAGTGTTAAATTACAAAATAATTTATTGGAGTAGAAATGAAGAAATTGTGATCAGAACCAGATTGGCTTTTTGTTGTATACATGTAGTAACTTATCCTAACTTTCCATTTTATGTTTTAGATATAGGAAACATTCAACCAATTTAATATAATTTGGCACCAACTTGGGAAAATAATATCAACAAACAAACATATTTTTAGTTAAAATTTAACTGTGCAGAATCTTGGTATCCATTAGTCTAACAGTTAGACCATGATGTACCTACTTCTCAGTTTAACAACTTGTTTGAAATTTACCACTCAATTTTCATAAACAATTTTTGAAATTATATGGCATATCCTCCAATAGCATTGTAAATTTCATGTATAATAATATATTAATTACAATATATCTGTGAAAGAAATACAATGTCAAACTAGAAGTAATTGTAAGAAACTTTGGAGATATAAACATTATCTGTTAATAGGTGTAATAAACATTACAATATGTATTAATCTTATGATACAACTAATATACCAGTAGGATGAAGCAGTATGTCATATATTGTCACACAGAGTCAGTGGAAATATTGACCAGTAAATTTCATACATTTTGTTAATCACTAGGTAGATATTTCTTATAGTATAATTATCTTCATTAACAGTGTAGGTATAAACTGTGTGTATGAACTGTTGTCTACATTAATCAAGGTTGATAAAGATTATAAGGGTTTTGTATTGCTAATAATATAACAATTACATGTGTATACCTATCTTTGTTAATATGATTATTTTAAATTGATTGTAAATTATCTATTCAGTTTCTATAGCTTTTGCTTGTGGTTTTTTATATGTAATGTAAACATTTTGCCAAATAATAGTAAATGCAACACATCTAAGGCTTGATTTGTTTTTTCATTGTCAGTTGGTGATCAGAGTATTTTTTAATAAAAACCTTGTTAATTTGTGTATGAAGCATATTCAGTCTTAAACTTGGAGCATCTTTGCACATGCAGTTAAGTATACATAAAAGAGATCATATATATAGGTCCAGTCAAATTGTATTGTTACAGAATACACAAGTAAGGAGACTAAGGGTATGTGTAGAATAAATAAAAACCCTGGGTTTACTGGAAAATTAAACTTAATGGAAACAGATGCATATATAATTTTGTGGTTTTAAGAAGTAAGGTTAATATTCTATAATGAAGATCAAGAGAAACTTATGCTATTTCGTAATAGCTTCTCAATATAGATAATAGCCAAATGTCTGTCTGTCACACTGTATTTTCTAAATGGTTAATTATAGAAAATAAAACTTGTATAGCAAAATGTTTCTTTTGAAGAGTATATTAAAGAAAAATTATTCACATTTTGCAATTCCTAAAACTTCATATCGATTTGTAAGTCTTTGTATATGCTGAATGGTCAGTCTGAAAAAAAATATTTGAGAACAAACAATGTTTCTTGTGAGAGAATTGCATGAAAAATAAACAGGATTTCCTCTGTCAACTGATTGGAAGAAATAAGTCAAAGATAGGAGCATGAGTGGAAAAATGCATGAAGAGAGGAACATGTTTAAGTATATATATATGTTGTTGTTTGACTTGCATGTATATTTATTTCATGTAAGTATTATATATACATGCATGATTTTATTGTACCAGATTTGAATTGAATATTCCCCATTTGACACTTATAGAAATGGCAGTTGTAAAAAGAGTGCTCTCTTTGGTAGCAGTTTTTGCTTGCACTCAGTTAAATGACAAGGAATGGTGACATCCAGTGGAAAAAATCCATGCAGCTACTTAGCAAACCTAAGTGTTCTATTGTGCTGGATGCACCCATTGCATTAAAAACTCAAATATTTTTGCCAACAATGCATTGTAGTCAGTCTCCTTTGCTTAAAAACAAATGCACTGCAATTTTCCTTATGGAAATAACATAGAATAACAAAGGACAAGTTCTTACACAAACAACAAAAACAAATTGAGGAAAATCTGTTGAATGTTTAAAGGATTAAAATTGTGCATGTGTTAATAAAATTGCTACTAAGCTTGTGTGTACAATGGTTATTTCTGTAGCATTTCTACTGTGAGTGAGGCTTTGGAAAGCATTCTTAGAAATTTGTTTTGTGAGATAATGGGTAGTAAATGTATCATTTTTGGATTGAAGTATTGGTTTGTTAAAACCTGGAAATCATTAAAAGCATAAAGACATTGGTACTGAAAGTTATGTTGAGATCAATTTAAGATGAACAGGAAACTAGTACAAACTTTAACTATGAGCTTTTCTTTCTGTTCTAGATATCTAGATAGTGGATAAGTAAGTATAGATACATAAGGTTACTAATATTCTTATTTTTGAAAACAAATGAATCTTGGAAATTGTTGGATCCTGTTATTGTATTGTAGTAGAATAAGTATATAAGAATGAGCAAGGTCACCCTAGACTTCTCTTCCTGTAATGTTTATGTAGTGTTTGAAAAATTGTTACTGAAGTACTTTTAGAGATCAAAAGGGCAACTTAGTGCATTGCAAGGTTAATATGTTGAAACTTTTTACTAGTACTCAAGTTTTTATAATTTGTACAATATTTAAATTAATCAATAAAGAAGTGACTTGTTAAAATTTGAAGGATATAGTTCCTCAAAATCTACATACTATTTCTTGCTTAACATTTTTCTTTTTGGTTGGCATGCTAGGCTGCATATTTAGTGGTTCAAAGTACAAGACATGATGAACACACTGTACTTTATCTGTATGTGCATTATAAAAGTTACAGTCAATCCTGTTATTTGTTTCAAAGAATTGAATAGAGCCTTTGTGACAATAGGTACTACCGGCTGGGTCCCTCTGGTCAGAAATTCAAAATTAGGGATGTTTATACCTCAATCTTAAGGGGTGTCTGAGCTTGCCATTTAGTCCATGCGTATATAATGTACTGTTCAGGTTGAAAATTTCAATTCTGTTTTTCTGCCATGAATTGTCTTCTCTATCAGAAGCTCAACCTTTCAGTGTTTAGTATAGGTCTGACAAGTATATACTCATTTAAAACATTTGCTACTTTAAGTATTGCTAGAATACAAATGTTTAAAATTTTAGAAAGGTGGAATTTTAGTGCTAAAAACTACTGTGGATACAATATCTACTGAAATTGGAATTGAAACAACCAATTAAAAAAACTAGTACTGACTCTCATGCTATACTATACATACAATACTGTTGATTACACCATACCAGACTATAGTACTTCTACAGATGTTTATTTTTTAAATCACTGGAGCATGAATGGACACCAAATGAAGAAAAACTATCAATTCTTGACACCTTTGTTGAACTGAAATCAATGCACTAAATCTCCCTGCCCTGACATGAAGAAAGAAATTCCTTATCTTCACTGTGATCATATGGCAACAAGATCTTTACACAGAAAATGCCAACAGACAACTGAACAACCACAACATTTGCAAGACATTTGATAAAGATCTAATCCCCAAATGCCAAAAAAAAAACATTTAGCAAACCATCCTAGAACTTTTAAGATGCAACAGACTCCCACATAATGCCAAATACTAAAAATCCTACTTACTGGCCAAGATTTATAAACTTGGTTATCTTGGACCTGATTGTTTCAGATTGCAACTACCTCAATAAACAAATTTCTAATTATCTGTATTATGTCCTGCAACCCCTGGTAATTTCCCATCCTCCTTTATTAAAGATCCTACACAGATGTTCTAAACCATCTTAAAGACTCAACACAAAAAATCTTTAATTGACACCTTCATCATGGATGTACAATCTTTGTACACTGTTCTTCTTCACAGTGATGGCATGCTAGCTCTGAAACTTTTTTCCATTCAAAAGAGACACAAAATTTCCTACTAATGAAACCCCCTCTAAGCTAGCTGAACTAGTTCTCACTGTGATTATCTTTGAGTTCAATGGCCAACTATATCAAAAACTTATTGGTGTTTCCATGATGACCTGTTTATTGGCTACTTTAAGGGATGCCTTTATACATCTTTAGGTGACATTTTCCCAGACTTTATTTGTTACATTGACAACATTTTATGTTTTGTTTACACACACCAAGATCCAAGTAGAACAGTTTGTCACTTTTATCCAACAACTCCACCCAACTTTTAAATACACTTAACAATTCTTTGATGCAAATGACTTCTTTTTTTTTTTCTCTGAACATCACTATTCACATTTTAGGTGGCTCATTTAAGATTATCATACATCTCAAAGACACTAACAGTCATGCTTACTTAGGCTACCATTCTTTCTACCTATACAAAACCAAGGCTGCCATTCCTAAAGGACATTTCACAAGACTAAGGTGTTTAATGCTCTGAAGACCAACACCTTTTCTACAAAATCCATTGAAATGGCAGGAGTTTTTCAAATAAAAAAAGTACAATCATATACATACTGTATCACATACCAACATCATCCAACACAAAGGCAAAAGTCAAACCAATATAATCTCCTTGATATTAATATACCATCTCATCAGGTTATCAAATCTCATATAGGAAGTTTTTAATCTTCTCAGAACTGCCAACATATTTACTACATCTCCTTTAAACTCTTACAATCAAAACCCAAACCTTCAAGACCATTTGGTACACTTGAAG